CTGATGATTCGTAGCTGGGATCAGCCCTGTGTTGAGAGAGACTTCGATAATGGTCCGTCCGGATTCGTCTTGTTATGCTTGGTGGGGCCGATACATGAATAACAACTCGTTCTGCACGTACCCTTTAGACAACGGTTATGCCCAAGTGAGTATGTGAAAGTAATGTCTGAAGACGAATTCCGAAATCTCATGCACGTCCCTATATCTTCGTCTAGGGCGACACCGGTGGGCCGTTTATGTACAAGAATCCCATTGGATTTTGGCAAGATGTCGGGATCGCTGCCGCGTTGGATTACTCGGCGAAAGGGATATTCGTGAAGACGGCGCGTGAGTGGGCGACTTTTCCCTTTGAATCTCGCTGGAGGGTCGTTTCTTTCACCGACTCTTTCCGTTGCAGTTTACGTGAAGAACTTCATCAAGGACAACACGGGAGGGGCTCTCTGGTGTGACGTTCCGGAGGAATGATGTTTCATTTTCACGTCTCCATATTTTTCTTGCTTTGTTTACTTTTCGTTCCAGAATGAAATTTCTCTTGGAATTCCATTGCATTCTCCAGTTCCAGTGTTATCACGAAGCTCCGAAATGCTGAAAGAATGCATATTACTTCATTTTGCAAATAAATCTTAAGTAAATCTCAAGTTACTGTCCAAGACATCCTCCTGAAAAAGGAATTGGATTAGGGAAGCTAAAACGATTTTTAAAAAAACATTGGAAGAAAAAGGAAACATGATTTCCATTTTTGAACGTTTTATCTTTCATGCTTTTCAGAACCGATTTCTAAGAAGAGATTCAGCGCTCGGCGGCAGAGCACCAAACACCATCCTGGGTGTTGGGCTTGATGAACCCGTTCACGTAATCTGGAATCGGAAGGCACGCGTCAGAATCGGCCCGGAGGCATATGCGCATAGCCGGTTTTGCATCCACTCACTCGCCGTCTTCAAGCTGATCCCTCCAACGAGGTGTTGGCATTCCTTGTGGGGCGAGGAAATGATCCCGACTTGTTGGTAGAAGCCCGCTTCTGTTTCGGACATGAACGGTCCGCCGACGTCGCCCTGAACGGAACCGACTAAAAAAAAACTCTTTTGGCAATTTTCCTCCATTTTCTTTTCCGATGGGTTGGAAGACTCACGTTACAGAAGTTCCTTCATAATGCATTGGTACAGAAGTTGTTGTCGTTGACGAGGGTGCCCTGATTCTTCTTGCAATACGCCTCCGTCATGATGGTCGCTGTCGACTCTTTCATCACCGTGCTGATCCCCGCTAGGAAATCGCAGACCGAGTCCACACAAGAGGAGGTGATCAAGGTACTTATAACTCCAAAGCAATCGCGTCGCGGAAATTCGTCTTTCATTTAAAAGAGAATAGCACTCACACCAAATACGCAACAAAGAGAAATTCTGGGACCGTACTATTCTAAAACACATTGGATAGACTACAAAATGTATTTTCTGTAACTTTCCGGTACCTAGCTCATCAGAATAAAAAATCATCGTCATAGTGTAGTCACTGTGTAGATAACTATTTAACTATTTGAGATTTCTCTTCTTGGGTAGCATTAATTCTAGCATTCGTGATGAATTCTCTTTTTAGCATTCTTAACGGTGTGGAGTAATTAACTCTCAGGCGAGAAGGAAAGTTCAGGATATGATGGTGCGTAAGCGGAACGAAGAGGGACGCGAAAAAAAGACCATGGTTCTTCTGTTCTACTCCTTTTTCCAATCCATCTTTCGAAGAATCCCTTCGAAAGCGATGGGCTTTCCTTCGGAAAGATACGACATGATGACACGGTCGTCGTGTGGAGCAGTCAAGAAATATGCAATAGGTGTCGAATGAAATGCTAGAAATTAGGATATTGGAAAATTGGGAATTCAATGGTGCTAATCAAAGTGCAAATCATAGGAGTGAATTAATAAGTTATAAACGCGGAGCTTTGTCTTTCCATTAAAGGGATTATTTAGTGAAACAAAGAAGAATTGGAACAATTTCGCAGAATTAGTGATTCCTTCATCAACAATGGATGCTCCCCGTCCGTTTCAACTCATACGGGCATATAGATCGAATTTATGCAAGCAATTCCTCACATCCGTTATCATAACCCCATCCCGCGAATATGCCCATTTGCCCAGGAATGGGCATGGCATTCGCGGATATGCAGATGGGACGGATGCGAGGGAAAGCCAGGAAGTCCACAGTAGAGTTGAGCTTGAGCAGAGCGACGTCGTTCACTTTGGAAACCGGGTCGTATTGAGGGTGGATGATGGCCCGTGCCGGCAGCCGAATGG